CTGAAATTGAGGTGGATTGGTGAGTTGATTCAAGATTTCTAAGGTAAGGGAGTATTAATTTTTTGTTGGTTGAAAGTGTGCTTTTAAATTGATTTTTAAGTTGTAGTTGTATTGGTGGCAGAAAAGGAAAATCTTAGGTGTGAGAGCTGGTGCCTTGGAGTTGGGAAAATTCCAGCAAAAATCAGGAAGTGTGCACTTGAATTGGTAGCAAATAAGTGTTCCACTATTTTAAGGTGAGTAGGGGGTGTCCATTTCAAAATAATCTCATAATTTGGTATGTAGGTATATATGTCTTTATGAGCATGAAATGATTTATTTTAAATGCAACTTGTGGAAATCATGAGCTGGTAGTGATCCTAGGAGTTGTGAATGCCAAGTGTTTGAAATGGGTTTGACTATACATATATATATATGAGTTATGTACGTAAAGGATTTAAAAATCGAGAAGCAAGCTTTTCAATGTATTTACGTCAAAAACGTGCCTTGTGGATTGTGTGAAGTGCATTCATGGATAAATTCTTATTCACCATGCGGATTAGGCATTTACCTTATGCAAAAAGGTTTACATGGCAAGGTGATACAAAAAGAGGTTTTTGAGTGTTACCATGATCGGTATTTTGAAAATGGTTTGAAACGATCTTTTGAAAACTTGATTTGATTTTTTTTAAAAATGGTTTTATTGAACCAAGAGATTCGAGAGTAGGCCGGTTGTCACTCTGATTAATTGTAATCCTTGTGCACAAGTGAGCTCTAGCTAGAGAACCTTTGGGCTATTAGACATGGCTAGAGCCAAGGTCTGTGATTTATGTGGCTAGGCCACAAGTGAGTATATGCAGTTGCGACCGCTTGATTTTTTCCGATGTCGGCCAACATCATTGAGATAGCCATGGCATGTGCTGATCCGGTGGAGTGAAGCTCCCAGATGTTATGACGTGGAAGTGAGTCCATGTGTTGTCATTTTTGTACCTACTCAAGAGTGACATTCCTTTTGATTTTCACGTAAGAAATTTTTACACAATGAAGAATAATTGTTTCTCTACTACTCTCCTTACTTATGTGACGACATTGATCTAATTCTTTATGCATGAAATGTACTATGAATTTGCACATAAGCTTTGTAACACATTGGATTTTACGGGAGCATGCATGATGACAATTCATTACTTTAACTCGTTGTTGAATGATTAATTAGTCTAAACTTACTTATTTGCATATGAGGCATAAATTTTCCTTTTGACTAAATTGATTGTGTATATATTCTTCTGTTTTTAAATCTTCAAATCTTGTACCTTTAGCT